GACTTGTGAGGACACAATGCAAAGAGGAGCATCTGCTAGCTAATGTTATTTACAACAGCCAGGATGGGGAAACCACTGCAGTGTCCGTCAGTGGACAAAGAGATACAGAACACGATATGATTCCTAAAAATATAATATTATTCGGCCTTAAAAAAGAATGAGATCTTACTACTGTCAACAATGTAAATGAGCCTCAAGGAGGATATGCTAAGTGAAATAAGTCCAACAGAAAAAGAAAATATCATATGGGCACACATGTGGAATCTAAAATAATTAAACATATAGAGATAGAGATCAAAAAGGTGGTTACAAGGGGCAGGATGAATGGGGAGGTACAGTGAGGATACAAAGCAGCAGATGGCCAGCCTAAAGAGTCCAGAAATCTAGTTTACAAGATGAGGACTATAAAATTGGGGTATTTGGGATTCCTAAGAAATGAATAGATTCACTTGTCATTCATGACACAAAAACAAAAATAATAGACAACTAGAAAAGATGACGGGTGTGATAATTTGCTTCACAATGGTGATCTACTGTTCTCTGTGCATTGCATAACTCCATGCTATATACCTTAAATATATACATTTGTTTAGAAAAAATGAAGAGAAGTCCTTGCACTTTACTATAACATCTGAGCAATGCAAAAAAGAAGTTGAAATTTCTATAGTTAAGAGTGAAAAAGCATAGCCTCGGCCAAACAAACATAATTTGAGATATAAATTCAGACCAGGTGGTGTTTAGACTTTTCAGTAATTTTGATATCAGTATTCAGTGTTCATCAAAGATATTTATAGATTCTTTCAAAGTTGTCATAGTCCAGCAAAAGTCACATTCCCACACGAACCAAATAGGTCAGAGGGCAAGACACAAAGCGACAAAGCAAGACAGGAGATACTTTTCACCAGATGTGCCCCAGGCCACTTGCAATGGAATGAGATTTTTCCATTCACTCTGTACTCAGTCTTCTGAAAGCAGGTCATGGTTATCACACAGCTATTGCCTGATATAACTACAACACTGAACTGTGTGGATCTAGCATTTCTGTAAGGCCCGGCCAATGATCAAGGTGAATATGGTTGTCTTTTTAAACTGTCCCCGGTCAAACTACTAAAAAAAAAGTTAAACAATCATTTAGAACTGAATGCACAGAGTGGCTGTCAGAGAAGTGCACCAGTTATCCAAATCATGGTTCATTATTTACTTTTAAACATATGTAATGTGGTGTAAAAATCTTTTTCTGATGAAATTTTATCAGTTGATATAAAATACAAATTCTCATATATATTTATTGATGCAATAGTAAAAATGAGGTAATAATACTTGGTTATAAAATTTGTTAATTATAGTTACAGAAACCCCTTTAAAAAACTTTTAAATAGTCCTTAAGTATTAAAATAAAACAGGAAATAGATTGAACTTTATTGGAAAATGTTATTGGAAAATATACCACACTGATAATTTTAGGAAGAATGTTATGTTCTTTTGCAGACAATTAACTGCTATATGTATTCCTCTTCTATCTCTCTTCCCCAAAGAGCTGAAGACATCGTATTATAGCAGTACATGCATACCAATGTTTATAACAGCAAAATTCATCATAGCTAAATCTGGAAAGCAGCCACTACGACCATCAACAGACAAATGGATAAATAAAATGTGTTGTCTATACATAATGGAATACTATTTGGCTATAAAGAAGGACAAATATGAGACATTTGTAAGAAAATGGATGCCCCTGGAAATACACTATTAAGTGAAATAAATCAGACACACAAGCTTAAATACCATGCATTCTCATTTGAGTGAGGCAAAGTACAAATAAAAAACAAACAAAGGATTGATAGAAGGAAACAAGTAGATAGATCTTTTGGAAACGGAAAGGGGTCCAGGAGGATGAGAAGTGGGGGACTAAAAAGATTTAGAATGTGTTACTTCCATGTACCAAATACCCACAATGAAAGTAATCATTATGTGTCATACACATGAACTAATAATAATAAGAACAATGAAAATAAAAATTGTGAAAAGGAGTTAAAGAAGGAGGGAGGGTGGTAGATGGGAAAGGGAAAGGGATTAAAAACAGTCAATGCCAGGAGTGGTGGTGCAGGCTTGTAATTCTCAGCACGTGGGAGGCTGAGGCAGGAGGATCTCCGTGAGTTTGAGGCCAGACTGGACTGTATAAACAAGTTCAAGGCCAGACTGAACTATATTGAGAGATCTTATCTCAAAAAGAAAAGCAAACAAAAAACAAAACAAAACAAAAGACTCAAATGCAGCTGGGTTATATACACGTACCTATTCCATAAAATGAATGTAAACTTTATGCACTGGAAACACATACTAATAAAATAAAAAAGAATTCTAATAATAATAAACCAGAAGAATATAGACTAGGGAATTTATATATCTAATCTATGTAGAATTGTTTAGTGGCTAGTGTATGGAGAACGTTAACGATATCCTGTAAGAACTGAACTGTATTTAGTGTTTCATTATGTAATTCACCATATTTAATGTTTACTTTTTAATTCACTTTGGCAAGAAATTTTCAAGGCAAAGCCCTACTGGCTGGCTCTTTATTCTTTATAGAAAGGGTGATGTAACCATTAGACACCAGCTTTGCCTCACTTGCTCATCAGCTGAGACAGACAGTAACAATGCGGTCAGCAGCTGAAGCAGCATGAACCAAATGGACCACACATCGAATTAGAGTCCCAGTCAATGCTGGGTGTGGTGACACACGCCTGTGATAGCTTTCAGTGTAATGATAAGGACAGCACCTCCCAGCGTGGAGACTTTGCTCCTATGCTACAAAGCCAAAGTATTGCAGCAACAGAAACACCGAAAGGACACCCAGGATTTTGAGGCAGATGAAGAATCAATTGTTCCTTAAAATGTCATGCCTTGAAGGCCCAGGGAGGGAAATTTTTATGGAGTTTCAAGGGGCATGAGGTACAGAGCTAGAGTACTTGGCTGTCTGATTGGTTCTTACTATATGCATCACAGTAACCAGCTGTTTCTAGGAGTCAGAAATAACAGGAACTGTAACAGAACCTGTTACCCAGGCAACGAACAGATTGGCTGGGGGGCCCTTTCTTCTACAAAACTACAATTAAAATAAGAGATTTATAATTTAAAATATCAAAATTATTCTTTTGCTCTACACATTCATTCTAGAAGATGACCTGCTATTTTGACCCAGTAGTTTTTGATATATAGATTTGGGGAAATTACTTGTAATCAAGAAGGAAATTTACACTTATTATAGAAAAGCTTGAAAATTCAGAAATTTTAAAAGTACAACATATTTGCATCCCTGCAAAAGTATAGTACATAACTTTAGGCACTTTCTGTATATGTATAATTCACATATACACACAAGCACAATAAACACATTTTTGGGTGGGTACAGCAAAATACTGAGGAGTTAATTTCAGATAGAACTTTTTGAAAATAATTTTTGGCTTTTCTGCTGTGTGTGTGTGTGTCTGTGTGTGTGTGTGTGTGTGTGGTGCTGGGAATTAAACCCAGGGCCTCATCTATGCTAGGCAAGCATTTTACCTCTGAGCCTCGCCCCCAGCCACGACACTTGTACAAATTCATCTCTATCCTTTTACTCGGTTTTCTGGAGAACTTGCCCCCCTTTATAGTATTTGAGAGTCTCTTCACCATGCTTTCTCCAAGAGGAACAGAATGTAAACATTTCAATGGACATGATAATCTAGCTCTTCCTGTATGTATATTTTTGTTGTTGAACAAATGATACAGTTTATGAGAGTCTATGAAATCAATTCAAAATTATTTTCTATAAATTAATCAAATTGACTTGGAGAAAAATGAGCAAATATTTGATCTTGTAGCTATTTTGTTTTGTTCTTCTTTACCACTTAGATGATATATAATACATTTGGAAAGATAAAAAAATGTATACTTTTAAACAGGAATAAAATAATCTATATTTAAACTTAAATTATGTATTTTAGTAAACTTTTCATGCCTTAGAACTGACTGTCATTTGGTGCTAAGATTTTCCTCTAGTATTTCTTATTAAGAGAAACAGCTGTTTCTTTCTTTTTTAACATGGCCAGTTTAGAGTTATTCCTTCTGAATTTGAAGGACAATTAGACATAAAGGTAAATATAGGCGTTCACATGAGATTCATCACACTGTCCACCTCTTCAAATTTTAGTGTTTACTCTACTCACAGATATTACATACATATCTATATCTACTTTCTGCCTACCGAACCCAACAATGTTTTTTAGCAAGTTGTAGCTATGTTCTCTGCCTCGGTATCTAGCAGCAGTAGGGAGAAAATAGCATCACTCTGAGTTTAGTAGCTCTGTGGGGTTTTTTAGGTGGTGGATTCCCCTAAATTTTTGCACAAGTGCACATTAAAGAGATGAGTTCTGAGATCTCTTCATTTTGATTGAACTCTATGCCGACTGAACTTGCTTCTGTGGTTCATTACCTGTCAGTGGGATTTGAGGCTTTCTGGCCAGAGAGCTATTATGGAGACTCATAGTACTGCATATCAATTTATTTTTCATTTTGGTTAGCATTCTAATTAGCAAAATTATTTTTAGGGCCGTTGAAAGAATATTTTTGTTCTTCCAACTTTGAAATCTTAATTGCCTGTGCTCTCTTGATAAAGATACTTTAGGAAAAGTATTTGTTACAATGGCATTTGGAAATTATTGTAGAAAATGTTCCAAATAAAAATCTAAGGAACAGAATAATAAAATAATTGAGTTTTCTTTAGATTTAATTACTATATTTCATTCACATCAGATAACTTCTTATTGGCTTTCTTACCTGATTGATTAAATAAGAGAAGAAAGGATGTAAGATTATAAATGAATGGTAAAAATCAAGTTATTAAACTTGCTGCTTCAAAATAATAAAGAATTTAAACATAATAAATACAATGTTATACTAAATAAATATTCAAAGGATCTTAAAAATAATGTAATACAACCATAAACAGAAGTTGCCATCACCTTTCAGTCTTTGCCTAAGATATCACTATTGCCAGGGCTGGATATGTACTCCAGAGGTCCACGTGGCCATGGTTTATTCACTGTCCTGTGGGGGACTGGAAGGTGGTGGAACCTTCAGGAGACAAGTCACTGGGGTGTGTGGTTGAAGGCGAGACGGGAACCATGGTCTTTCCCTACTTCCTGGCTTCCTGGATGCCATGGTAACAGGCGTCCCTCTCACGTGCTCCCAGCATGCGCGCTGTGCTGCCACAAGCCCCAAACAGCAGCACCCATGAGTAAAACCTCTGAACTGTGAGACAAAGTAAACCTTTCCTCCTTTTGAGGTGATTATCACAGCTACTTTGCCCAAATACCCAATAGCTGAGGTTGGGTAGATCTGGCCAAAACTAGCCACCCCTTCTTTTGTATACGTACAGAGCTGTGGAAAGATCCCTATCCAGGCTGCAGAGACTGCTGTTATGCCGTGAGCGCATGGTGTGCTCTGGGCTTGGGCACTCATGTCTAGAAGCCACCTTTGTAATTTCAGTAGTGATGTAGGAACCTAGAATACAGGTGAATCAAAGAACTTCCTTCAATAATAAGAATCACATATCAATCAAAGTCAGCCCATTAGATTTTTGAAGGCTTAAGATGGGAACGGAGCTCAGTGGTAGTGTTTGCCTTGCACTCGTGAGGCCATGAGTTTGATTCTCAGCACCACAAAATCTGTCACAGTGCTACATCAAGCTGAGTTCTCTCGATCTATGAGATTTACATTGTGGTCACTGTATTTTTCTTGAGATAATCTACCAACCTCTAAGTCTATTACACATGGGCTTATTTCACATGCAATTACTGAGGCAGTAAAAGGTATCGTCCCCACCTTATATCTGTTTTCTCAGTAGGCTTCAGCATGCTAGGAGTCCTGGCCTCAGTTTCTCCAAGCATACATTATCAAGAATGCTTTCTCTCCTTTGTAAAAAAAACAATCCCTTGGTTCTTCTCATGAAAAAAATATTCATACATGTCCAGATCACTGGGCAAATGGTTCTCAGTGTGAGAAACTGTGCTGTGGTGGTTAGGGTGGAGCATGAGCTTGCTTTGCTTCAGGACGCACCTGAGGAACTGGTGAAGACCAACTCCAGGTGTGACTGGGCGGTGGTGGCACGGCCTTTGGGTTCATTTCTGGTCCCTGACTCCTTCCACTCTGGCGCTGTTCCCTTGCTCTGCTTCCCAGCCACCATGAGTGAAGCATCTTTGCACCACCTCAACTTTCTGCTGTGACAGTTTTGCCTTGGAGTTAGCAAGCAATGCACTGGATACCCTTAAGACATGAGCCAATTTGAACTTCTCCTCCTTCACTAATTCTGTGTGCTTGAACATTAAGTTCATGATTCATTCGGTTCTGGGATCTTTCTGACTATACACTTCTTTAGATAGAGTGCTATACAAACCATGCTCTGAGGAAAGCCATAGGTCCTATGTTCATATACAACATATACACATAACTTGTTCTCTGGCCAAATTATCTTGGGAAATTTTCAATTTCAATTTAAGAGGTTTTTAAATTGTAGGATACATCAAAACCCTTAGCATGCTATTGTGCTTGATGATTCCTCAAAGGGTGGATATAGTACAATGTTTTCCAAATATTTTACCCTCATAAATTTTTTATAATGTGTCTTGCCACACACCCTTCATATTAGAATATTGTTACTCTTTAGAGAATGAAAAAGCAAGCTTTTCCAGGCATTGGAGATGCGAAATTTCCTTAAAGGTGAATTCAAAGCTATTGATGCAACAGGAATCTGCTTGTTACTGGGGATATTTCACGCCTCTCTCAGTGAACTGGTAAACTGAGCAAAAGAAAACTAGCATGTGACCGGAGAGCAAGCTGTGCAGGCAGCTGGTTCCTAGAAAATGACTCAGAGGTGGCTTCTCCAAGTGCAGGTGTGCTGAGAGGTAGAGGAGGCTCTGACTGTGACGGAGGAAACCAAGGCCTTGTATCTGCTCAGCTCCGGGAGCTCATTCAGGATAGCAGGCTCTTCTGGGGGCTGGGCGGACAGCTTACACCTGAGACCAAGGGTAAGTCTTGGACTCCAATCTTTGAGATGAACTTTATCTGTTTCTTCCAGTCTCTTAAAAGGGGTAATGATTCCTTGACAAATTGTGTTTAGTTTGAGCAGGAAAGTCTTTTTTCTCTCTTTGCTTTGTTTTGTTTTGTTTTTATTCCTGGAGGGAGCTGCATCTCCCTATTGATTTACCTTGAGCTGACAATTGAAAGAAAAAAACAAATTTTCCTATTCTTATTCTCTCCACCTCTATTTGCTGTTTTTTTCCTATTGTGTTACTAGAAGTTTGGAACAGAGGACATGAATTCGTAGCGATGCATTTCAAATGCAGTTTCTAAGATTTAGACCATTCCACCAGTCTCGCCATTTCATTTGACTCTGCTTTCCAGGGTGTATCTGTCACATCAACTATCTCAGTAGTTACAAATGTGACAAGTTATGGTCTCTATTTCTTCACAACAGGCAGTCGTACAGTGGTAACAGACTGCAATCAATCCGTGAATAGCTTCTTGGTGTGGTAACAGGAGCCCTTGCTTTTCTTTCTTTTTTTTTTTTTTTTTTTTTGTTTGTTTTTCTCCGGTACTGGGAACTGAACTCACGACCTTGCACTTGCCAGGCAGGCGCTTTTGCCGCTGAGCTAAATCCCCAGCCCCTGCCCTTGCTTTTCTTAATTCATTACAGCTAGTTTGTATTTCTTGCCATTATTCTTCAGGATATTTTGAGACACCTTGTAAACTATCTTGCTAATTAAGAAAAATGAAGGAAACAAGATAATTAAGGATCACATAAGAATTTACTAGCTACCTGAATTATATTTCCTATAAATATTAAAATAATTCAAATTTTACAAAATTACTTTTATGGTTTTTAACAGTTTTCTGGTCTACCTCATGAAATGCCCAGATATCTATGTAGCATTTGTTTTTCTAAGTAGATAAATCATATGTGCTTATTGTGGAAAATATAAAATGCAAAAGATAGAAAATAAATGTTTCCTCTAATCTCATTATCTCTTGATAATTTTTTTTTTTTTTTTGGTTTTAGTTTTTCTCCAGTACCGGGAACCGAACTCACAACCTTGCACTTGCCAGGCAGGTGCTTTGCCGCTGATCTCTTGATAATTTTAAAGTTAACATTCTACCCCATGTTCTCCCAAAATTAAATAGTATACATTATCATATTTCCCTTAACTTTATTTCATCAGCATAGTTTCATGTCAAATAAATAATTAAATGTCATATAGTATGTAGATCTAACTATTTTCATACTTTGAAATATTTTAGATATTTCAATTTGTCATAGAAATATAATTATGTTTTCATTTTATAAATATCTGCATACTTCTGATTTTTCCTCATTGAATACATTTCTAGAAATAGAAATAATCTGACAAAATCTATAAAAATTTAACATTGATGGTGAATTTCAAACTGCCCTCCAGAATGTTCATCTGATTTTGTATTTACTTTCTTATGCACTGTGTGAGATAATCCATTTCACTGGATTTTATTGCAATCATGAAACTGGACTCATGTCTTCTGGTTCACTTTATGTTTGAAATAAAAATATTTAAAACTGATACTAAACAGGAAATGTATGGTCATGTAGAAATATCTTTCTACTTACAATTATGTTAACTCAAAAAAATAGATTTCTCTAGAACCTTGAGAAAACTCTTTTACACAAAAGAAAATGTTGGTATGATTTTTTGAGCTACAAACTAAGAAATATTTGGAAAGATTTAGTGGTTCATTGTGTCTGTCTGAGAGAATAATCAGAGGAGAGATAGAGAAAAAAGAGAAAGGCATTCATGCATGTTAAATATGGCATTGATTGCCATAAAAAGGGTAAATACATAAAGTAAACAAATCGTACGCTAATCGTTTTACTATTCTTCATTTCAGTTTTCAATGAAATCTCACAACTTATTAAGTAGGCAAAAATTGAAATGACTAATAAGCCTTTTAATAATGAAAGAATTTTCATAATAAAATTCAGAATAAAATAAATAAATAAATAGAATAGAATAAATAATAAATTTCAGAATAAAATAAATTAAGAGTTTGGTCAACTTGATATCAAAATTCAAGAGAGAGGGGCTGGGGATTTAGCTAAGTGGCACAGTGCCTTCCTGGCAAGCACAAGGTCATAAGTTCGATTCCTGGTACCGGAAAAAAACAAAAAAAACCCAAAAAACAAACAAACAAAAAAAAAAAAATTCAAGAGAGATTTATAGATTTGCTACAAAGTAACTACCAACAGAAATATTTTTATGTGAATTTATTTTTTATCACAGTTATACTGTTTCTGCCTTTAGAGAATATACTTTTTGAGTGTTTCTGATGAAAATATCTAAATTGTAGGGTCTAATTCATTTGCAATGGAAATTTATTTTGAGACACAGGTAGCAAATCTTCTGTTATTAGAGTTTAGACAACCCCAGAGAAATGTTGATCATTTGCACAAATTGGAGACATTATATCCAGAAATAAAAGAGGGGTGTATACGGGACTGTAGGACGATGATGTTGTTTATTCATTTCTCTTGAGACTTCTGACTGGTAAGGAAACTGAGAGGTTGTTTTCTATTTGATTGTTTTCCAATTCTAGCTTCATTTTCTAATTAGAATTAATGTCTTATCATATTGTTTCCATTCAGTGCATGAAAGTGACCACTGGGCAAGAAATTTTAAGCCAAAACAGAGTTAGTTTTATCTTATCATCTTTATTCTTTTTTTGTATTAATTACCTTCAAAATAAAATGAAACTTAATTGGATGAATTTAATATTTTAAAAGTCTAAAAGTTTAATAAAGCCATAATAGAAAGAGCATTAAACTCTCTATGTATTATTTCTTGGGTACTTACTATGTGCCATTTAGGTAATTAAGCTCTCTATATACACACATAAACTTTACATGCATATGGAAGTATGAATACATGCATTTGTTTAATGTAAGCCAAATGAAGTGGAGTTATCTTTATCATTAGTTTATAAATACACCGAGTTTCAAAGAGTGTAGCCAAGTCACCCAAAATCCTACAGTTCATAATGGTGAATCCGAGACTTAAACCACAGTTTTCTTTGACACTAAATTTTATGTAACTATGAAATAAAG